GAACTCTCACAGAAGGTGCCTTTGTAAAGTTTCAGAAGGCTTCTCTTAGCAGGAATTCAGCAACCTGTCACGTTAGCAAAGTTGAAATCACTTAAAACCACCCAGCAGAATGTTTTTTAGTGGCTGAAGATGCATTGGAACTTATTACACGTGATCGACATGTTGAAGTCCCTAAGGAAATACATGGATTGTGTACATCATCATTGGGAATATGCGACTCTCTTTGCTATTCTTTACTCTCAAAATCTCTGATGCAAAAGACTATTAGGAGATAATAATTCTAATGAGATTCATGAGCAATCATAACATCCAGCATTTCCTAATACCTCTTTGTTTATCTGTGCTGGGAAGACAATTTAAAAACTCTTCTTTGGCATTTTATTTTAATTTCAATTGTGGAATGCTGGCATGGTGGTTGGGATTTCTGGGAATTGAAGTCCACACATCTTGAAGCTGCCAAGTTTGAAAAACACTGTTCTAAACCTTCAGACACTTCTGTTAAAAGAAAACTAACATGGGTAGTACTGTATCTATCGAGTTTCAATTCATCTTTAATTCAAACAATGGTTCTGTGTTGTTTTTTTTACTTCAAAAAGTCATATGATTCCAAATTAAATTTCATGAATCTTATATTCAAAACAATGCATCTTCCTCTAAGATATGATAAAGTCTTCATTTCATCCCCCTTCTAGTCTGTTCAGACAATTTGTGTAATATTCCAACACCATGAGAATTACAAACTTTTTTTGCAGGTTTTACAGTGCCACTGTTCAATGCCACCCTTTGACTCAACTCAGAGTCAAAAGTCACTGATTTTACTGTAGCAGATCCCCTGATATGTTCTCTCTCTTTGCAAAAGTGTTTTGGGGAGAGGGGGGATTCGTACTGACCAACTATAATTGACGTCTGGCAAAGTTAAGTAACATATGCTATGGTCAGTCTAGGAACATGTAGAAATTCACAGACAGTTTCCTTGAAATCAATGTGGATTTATTAAAAATGTGCCCTGTGTTGTGAGGTGGGTCAGGATAGGAGCTGATACAAATACACACTCCAACAGCACTTAAACAAGTGAGGGACTTTATTCTAAGCCAGGGGTTCCTAAACTTCCTAATCTTAATGTACACACCTCCCCTAGAAATCCAAACACCAGAATGAACACAAATGAACAATGAA